TAGAATTTGGGAGCGACGGCAATTTCGCCAACAGAGAAAATGGACTAAAATCACAGGGCAGGATGAGGCCACTCTCTCTCCTCCCTTGTAATAATGCTCAGGCCACCCTGTACTAAAGGCGGGCCAGCTGACAAACGCACCATCAGTAAAAGTGTTGGTAATGAAATTCAAAGCCGTAGCCCACTCTGCCACCTGTAGCCTCGACCCCTGGTGTAGTGAGGCCATCCTTGTTGTCCACTAAACCACTTAACACGTACTGAAGGCTGCACGTCAACCACTCATAAAGTACTGAACTGTTTTTAAGTACAGGATTAAGGTAACATCTACATTAACGCCTGTTATTATAAGCAATACAAGTAGAAAACAATAAGCCTACAATATATGGACAATGTTGGAACTATCTACTTCTACTACTACTACTACTGCTAGTAGTAGGCGTAATACTAAAACTAATATTACTGCTACGAATACCAGGAACTGCTACGACTAATAATAATAATAATACTAATAATAATAATATATGAATATGACAATCGTTATGCACGTATAGTTTAGCATGGCCGGAAACTTCAGTGAACTCCTCATATTTAGTAAGGTGTTGTACAAATATCAGTGAGGAAAGGTTGCAGTGTTGACCATTAATATGCATTTCAAAGTACAGTAATTCCTGTAGGTAGTGTAGTCCAACATAACACACTACACCATGATCAGTTGCTTCCCTTCCCATACACGAGCAGGTATCGTCGCCGTGGACTCATGCTGTCAGGGACCTCCTGCCACGTTGCTCTACTGTCAGGGACCTTCTGCCACGTTGTTCTACTGCTAAGGACCTACTGTCAGGGACATCCTGCCACGTTGTTCTACTGTCAGGGACCTTCTGCCACGTTCTACTGCTAAGGACCTACTGTCAGAGACATCCTGCCACGTTCTACTGCTAAGAACCTACTGTCAGGGACCTCCTGCCACATTATCCTACCGTTTGGGACCTCCTGCCCCGTTGTTCTACTGTCAGGGACCTCATGCCCCGTTGTTCTACTGTCAGGGACTTCCTGCCCCGTTGTTTGTCCTACTGTCAGGGACCTCATGCTCCGTTGTCCTACTGTCAGGGACCTCCTGCCCCGTTCTACTGTCAGGGACTTCCTGCCCCGTCGTCAGCCAACAGGACCTACTACTAGGGACTGCCCCTCCTACTGGGACCTCCTCCTGCCTACCGTCAGGGACTTCCTGCCCCGTCGTAATACTGTCAGGGACTTCCTGCCACGTTGTCGTACTGACAGGGACCTCCTGCCCCGTTGTACTACTGTCAGGGACTTCCTGCCCCGTCGTAATACTGCCGGGCTTCCTGCCACGTTGAAAGAATTGTCAGGACCTCCGGCCCTGTTGTCCTACTGTCAGGACCCCTGTCTGTTGTCCCTCTGTCAGGCCCTGTTGTCCCACTGTCAGGACTTCCTGCCCCGTTGTCCTACTGTCAAGGACCTCTTGCCCCGTTTTCCTACTGTCAGGGACCTCCTTCCCCGTTGTCCTACTGTCAAGGACCTCTTGCCCCGTTTTCCTACTGTCAGGGACCTCCTTCCCCGTTGTCCTACTGTCAGGGACTTCCTGCCCCTTCGTAATACTGTCAGGGACTTCCTGCCACGTTGTCGTACTGTCAGGGACTTCCTGCCCCGTTGTCCTACTGTCAGGGACATCTTGCCACTGATCACTGATCACATTGTCACCAATTGTGTTATTAATATTATTATTATTATTATTATTATCATTATTATTATTATTATTATTATTATTATTATTTTTATTATCATTATTATTATTATTGTTATTATTATTATTATTATTATTATTATTATTATTATTATTATTTGTTTATTATTATTATTATTATTATTATTATTATTATCATTTTTATTATTACTATTATTATTATTATTATTATTATTATTATTATTATTACTATTATTATTATTATTATTATTATTATCATTATTATTATTATTATTATTATTATTATTATTATTATTATTATTATCATTATTATTATTATTATTATTATTATTATTATTATTATTATCATTATTATTATTATTATTATTATTATTATTGTTAGTTATTATTATTATTATTATTATTACTATTATTATTATTATTATTATTATTATTATTATTATCATTATTATTATTATTATGACAGTGAAACTATTACTCTGTTATATCTAATAATTTTTGACTGTAGTTTTTTTTAAGTATTTGGAGAATTACAGAATAACGTACGATATTATTATTTTATTTGTTTAATTTTATATTTTTTATGCTCTCTCTCGTCCCACCTCCTCTTCTTCCTTCTTTTCGGACTTGTCCTAACACTCACATAGACTGGTGTAGGTTAATGAAACAACAAGTAAACAATCTTTGATTAATGTATACCTTACAAAGCAATCCAATGGTTGGGTACATATGTGTGTGTGTGTGTGTGTGTGTGTGTGTGTGTGTACGAGCCAAGAATAACCAAGGTTCTCAAAGATTCTCAAGTTCATGATGTAATTCTCCTGTGTTGAGGGACATCAGAGGACGTATGTAATTGCAGTATAGTCTCAGTACATATTTAATGCCATTAATCCCGCCATCTCTATGTAGTAGTAGTAGTAGTAGTAGTAGTAGGAAGAATTTTGCTGTGGTTGTTACGAGTGGCTGTTGTGCACGATATTGGGGGTGCAGAGAAAAGAGCCCGTGGCAAGAGCAGGCCGGGGATGTGGAGTTGGGGGGGGGGGGTTATTCTCTTTATCAGTCAGCTTAATCAGTCAGTCAGTTAAGTTAGTCAGGAATGACGTTCATAGAGCTACCCAACGCAGGCAAAACATGACGTAGGAATCTTTGAGAACCAGCAGGTGAGTCGGCAACCCCCAGAAAAAAAAAATCACCTTTCCAATCTCTTCACCAATCTGTACTAATCATATAAGAAATATAGATATATGTGTATTTATAAATATATACATTAATACAAAATACTAATACAACTCTTCTTCAAAAGTATATATAGATATGGAGCACAACAAAGGCAATGGGGTTGTCTTTATTAATTTACTAATACGGAAAGTAAAGACACTTGTATATTATTTTTGTGTGTGTCTTATATAAGTCATCATTAACTACTAAACCAATAAAGTAAAAGACACAGTTATCGTTTTTTTTTACGAGAAATACAACAATTGGGTATACTGTATATATTTGTGTCATACAATATACACATTTCTTTCACTTTCCTGGGGTGAAGGTTGTATATGATTTATTATACAACAGCTCTATACACCAGAGATAACATACATTTCAACTACTGCTTCAAATATAACAGTAATACATGGTAGCTGTCCAAAATACAACATATACTTCACTTTCTTCCCTGGTTGTATATCTTGTGTTATAACTAAGGCTTTTGAAAATACAACATACTAATACAACATACACTTCGCCCTACTAATTTCAAGACTGTATTGCAACTCAACCTTTGTGTACATAGGTATGGAGAAATACAATAGGTGAATGTATTATTGAGCCTAAAAATACAACAGACATACACTTACTTGAGCTGCTTCTTCAAATACAACAAGATGGCGTATATTTCATTCGAGAAATACAATATACATACACACATTTCTTCTGTGTTAAAGGTTGTATAATAGAATCATACACATGGGTCTGGGAATACACAAAAATAAAACACTTGCAGAATACAACATATACACTAACTGCTGCATAAACTACATCAACCTGTTGTTGTTTTTTTACACTGTCAAAATAAAATGTTTTTCTTTTGATAATACTATGTCATGATTTATTCATTATCACTTATTCATTATACACAAGGGCAGGATAATACAACAAAAGGAAGTATTATTCTCTTGCATAATATATTTTGCAAGTGAATAATGCATAATTTTATTGCAATATATTCTTCACTTTTTGATGTTGTTTATCACTCGTTATTCACTTGCATTTATAGAGGAAAATACAGTAATGTTATACAGTATTTATTTGTAAAAGTCAATATACACATCATTCCTCTGTTTAAGTAATCATTAGTAGCTAATAAATATTCACATGATTTTATACACACAATGCAGCAAGTTATACATTATACATTTGCAAAATACAAATTGCATTTCACTCTCCTGTTTGTATATACTGTACTAATGTATGGCGGTTTCACTGTTCGGTAGTTAGTGAATTGGAATCACCTGGAGATAAGTCATCCCAGCTTATTTCACTTGTTGATTAACCACTCCAACGCTGCCCGGGGGGAGGTTGGTCGTAAGGTTAGGTTAGGTTAGGTTAGGTAAGGTTAGCGTAAGGTTAGTTAGAGTTAGGTTAACATTAGGTTTGGGTAGGTAAGGTTCGTCTAGATTAAGTAAGGTAGAATAAGGTAGGTTAGGTTAGGTTAGGTTAGGTTAGGTAAGGTAAGGTTAGCGTAAGGTTAGTTAGAGTTAGGTTAACATTAGGTTAGGGTAGGTAAGGTTCGTCTAGATTAGGTTAGGATAGTATAAGGTAGGTAAGCGTTAGGATGGTTTATCTTCAGGTGAAAGCTGGGATGCCTAATCTTCAAGTAATCCGTGAATTGGAAGCCTTTGATTGGACGAAAGAAGCTTTGAGTGAATTATGTCGTAACCTGAAATCATGTCCTCTGATTGGTCCTTGCTCATTGTGATGTGCGGTGATTGTGTCCTTTTACACCAAGGTACGGCACAGATAGGCAAGAACCAATCAGTTCACACCACTTATAGATAATAACCAATCAGCTCACGCCACGTATAGGCAAGAACCAATCAACGCCCTACACGAATTCTGCCCAGAAGGATTGATTTACATACAATAGAAATAAAGGATCACCTGAAGAACAGCCTCTCCCAAGCTTATTTCACCTGATGATTATACATCCTAACACTACCTTGGGGTTAGGTTAGGTAAGAGTACATTTGGTTAGTGTCAGGTTAGATTAGGTTAGGTTAGGGTAGGTTAGGTTAGGTTAGGTTAGGTTAGGTTAGGTTAGGTTAGGTTAGGTTAGGTTAGGCTTGGTTTGATTGGATTAAATTATATCAGGTCAAGTTTATTTTAAATAAAAATTCGCCTATATTACATTAGCTTAGGTTAGCGTTAAGGTAGTTCAACTATCAGGTGAAATAAGCTCGGGGTACCTGAAGCTTCATTTAATTATGTGACAACAAACGCGCGCACCCTCCCCCCCAACTCCCCCCATTCCCCCACTCCCAGGCCTCTCCCCCCAAAAAGAAAATTTCAGACGCGGCGACATTTGAGCAGGTTCTCGGGTGCGTTCATACAACAAGTGAGGCACAACAAACAAGACTACAAACCCACAGAACGAATCCGCAAACAAAAATAATGTGTTCGTCACTAATCCGAATCCGCGTGACACCAATCGATTGAGGCATTCTTGTTTAACTCCTGGCTGCAAGGGTTCGTTTTTGGTCTGGTCATAAGTGGGGTTCATTTTGGTCTACTCATAAGGGAGGTTCATTGTAATCTGGTTCCAAAGGTGGTTCACTTTGGTCCCTTGATGGTTCAATGATACCTTGGATGGTTTACAATTTGCCGTGTGGTTGATGACGTCCATAGGTGGTTCATGAAGATTCTAGATGATTCACAACAGCCCCCAGGTGATTCACGACAGCCCAGGTGGTTCGCGACAGCCCCAGGTGGTTCACGACAGCCCCCAGGTGGTTCTAGGAGTGGACGGTCTGGCTCGTGGCTTCCTCGTCCTCATTGTGAGCTCGACGGTACTTGATAGTGTCTCCAAACATCTGACCATTCTGTTGAGAGAGAGACAGTGAGACGGCCGGTTGAGAGAGAGAGAGAGCTGTTGAGAGAAAGAGAGAGACAGTCTGTTGAGAGATTGAGTGAGAAGGTCTATTGGAGAGAGATAGTCTGTTGGGAGATTGAGTGAGAAGGCCTATTAGAGAGAGACAGAGAGAGAAACAGAGTGAGACAGTCTGTTGAGAGATTGAGTGAGAAGGCCTATTGGAGAGAGACAGAGAGAGAAACAGAGTGAGACAGTCTGTTGAGAGATTGAGTGAGAAGGCCTATTAGAGAGAGACAGAGAGAGAAACAGAGTGAGACAGTCTGTTGAGAGATTGAGTGAGAAGGCCTATTAGAGAGAGACAGAGAGAGAAACAGAGTGAGACAGTCTGTTGAGAGATTGAGTGAGAAGGCCTATTAGAGAGAGAAAGAAAGAGAAACAGAGTGAGACAGTCTGTTGAGAGATTGAGTGAGAAGGCCTATTAGAGAGAGACAGAGAGAGAAACAGAGTGAGACAGTCTTTTGAGAGAGAGAGAGAGAGAGAGGCAAAGTGAGACGGTCTATTGACAGGGAGAGAAAAAAGATTAGTGCCATTTGTTGGCTAGATTAACTTTTGTTTGGTTTGGTTAGATTAAGTTAGGTTTGGTTAGGTTAGGTTAAGTTAAGTTAGACCAGGTTAGATTAAGTTAACTTATGTCAGGACTGGTTAGGTTAGGTTAGGTTAGAGCAGGTTAGATTAAGTTAACTTATGTCAGGACTGGTTAGGTTAGGTTAGGATAGGTTAGAGCAGGTTAGGATAATTTATGTTTGTTTAGGTTTGGCTAGGATAGGGTTGGAAAGTTTAAGTTAGCTTTGGATAGGCTAGGTTTGTTTGGGACAGTTTTGGATAGTTTAAGTAAGTTTTGGTTGGAGTACATTAAGTTTGGCTGGGTTTAAGTTAACGTTACGGCAGATTAGATTTGGTCAGGTCAGGTTAAGATAAGTTGGGTTTGGTTAAGATTGGTTTTGCTTGGTTGACTTAGATTAAATTAGGTTTGGGGGGATTAGATATGGTAAGTTTTGGTTAGATCCAGGCAGTGCTTGGCTTGGTTAGGATGAGTTTGGATTGGCTTGGCTAGGTTTGGTTAGGTTAGGTTAGGTTTTTCTCTACTAATATCTTGAAAACCAAATTCATTGAGGAATACCAAAATTGATGATGAATTGGATGAATGGATGTATGGATAGTTGTGTGGATGGATAGATGAATTAATGTGTGGATGGATGAATAGACGCATGTGTGAGTTAAAATAGATGTGATTTGTACATGGTATTTGACGACTTAAAAGTAAACTACGAAGCTTTGACTTGACTGGAATTGACTGACTGACTGACTGACTGACTGACCCTGGTTCTCTTGAAGAGTACGTAGGAGAAGATGAGGGTGCCGGTGAGCATTAGGATGACCCCGACGACGATGGTACTGACGATGAGCGCCCCGTACCGTCCCTCATTATTCACGAAGGGGTGCGGCGCCATGCACTCGAAGTTGATGGAGTGGTTCAGGAGGTCGGAGACTGGCATACCGCGGTCCTCTATCGGCTCGGCGCAGCTGTAGGAAAGAGAGATAGTGAGAGAATGAAAAGAAAAAAGAGAGATATGAAGGGGGTACAATGATGGGTAGTGAGAGAAAGAGGAAATACATGAAGGAATTTGCGATGAACAACGACAGCAACACACACACACACACACACACACACACACACACACACACACACTACTTTGCTGTCACTCAGAATCGAGTATGACGATCATCCAGCTATGATACACTGATATGAGTTATTAAGGATGTCACCTAGGTTGGTGAGTTATGAGGTGACTAAAGAAGCTGATACGGGACCGGCAGAGTTGTTCACAGATGTTGCACATGTGGAGGGCTACATCGAGTGCGTGGAGGGCGGCGGCAGCGTCTTTCCGGCGTTGGCGCTTGTCTGCCTCGGTATGTAGTCGGACTAACTCGAAAGTATTGACACCTTGTGTGGTGCTCCTCCAAGCGTTACGGTGTGCAGTAATCGTCTCCCAGGTGGGGGGGTCGATTTGGCGCTTTTCAGATTTGTCTGAAGACTATCCTTATACCTTTTCAGTTGTCCGCCAGCATTATGTTTACTATTCGTAAAGTAGCTACTTGGCAGTCTGCTGTCGTCCATATGAATAACATGACCAGTCCAGCGTAGTTGTTCATGGATAATGGTAGCCTCGATGCTCCTACAGTTGGTGTCAGCGAGAATACTGGCATTTGTTCTCTTGTCTTTCCAGCGAACTTGGAGGATGGAACGTAGACAACATTGGTCAAAGTTTTCAAGTGCCTTGAGGTGCCTCCTGTATGTGTTCCATGTCTCGCTGCCATACAGCAGGGTGGGGAGGACCACTGCTCGATATAAGTGCAACTTTGTAGATAATTTCAGCTCCCTACAGCTGAAGACACGGGTTCGGAGTCTGCCAAAGGCTTGAGATGCACATCTGAACCGATGTTGAATCTCTTCATCGATGTCCATGGTGATGGACAGGTGGGAGCCGAGATACCGAAAGTGGTCAACATTAGAGACGGTAGTACCGTTTAGCTGGATGGATGGTGGAGGTGTGTCTGAACCAGGGGCAGGCTGAAAGAGAATCTGGGTCTTACGTACGTTCACCTCAAGGCCGAAGTGTGCATATGCATCTACTTAGGGTGAGGTCGTTTGCATACTGAAATTCAGTAATGGAAGCTGCCGACACTTTTGTTCCTGCCTTGAGTCGTTTTATGTTGAAAAGACCCTTCATCCCATACTCGATGTCCACCCCACCAACTAAATTGGCACTGGCACGAGTAAGGAAGGCAGCCAAGAAAATGGAAAAGAGAGTTGATGATGCCGGTACACATCCTTGTTTTACCCCCATTTGAATGGGGAAGAACTCAGACTGGTTGCCAATGTGTAGGACACTGCCGTTCATACCATCGTGGGGTTGCCCCACAATGGCAATGAATTTTGGCGGGCAACCAAAACGACTGATGGCCACCATAGGGCTTCCTTGTTGACCAAGTCGAAGACCTTGGTTAGGTTGATGAAGGCCTTATATAGATCATGACGCTGTTCTCTGCACCTTTCCTGTATCTGGCAGGCAGCAAAGATCATGTCAGTGGCACCCTGTGATGGTCTAAAGCCACATTGAGATTCTGGGAGGAAGTTTTCCGCTTCAAGAAGAAGTCTGATTAAGAGGACTCGGGCAATAATTTCGCCAGCTATGGACAGCAGCGAGTTTCTGCAGTAGTTGCCACAGTCTGACCGGTCTCCCTTGTTCTTATAAATATTGACGATGGAGGCGTCTTTAAGAGTTTGGGGGATTTCCCTCTTTTCCCATATATTCTCCAGGAGAGAGTGGAGACGTCTGGTAAGCAGAGGTCCTCCTGCTTTATACACCTCGGCTGGGATTCCATTAGGCCCTGAGGCTTTGTTATTTTTCATCTGTTTGATGGCAGTAGCTACCTCATCCAGGGATGGAGGATAGCTGAGGTGGGTCAGCCCTGAATGCTGAGGGACTTGCTAGGTAGTCAGGACATCTCCATTGGTGTTTCGGTTGATCAGTGAATGATAGTGCTCCTTCCAGTCCTGAAGGAGGCCTTCTTCATCTTTAATTAGGAAGTTACCGTCGGATGAGCGGAGGGGGCTGCGCCATGAGTGATTGGCCCATAAAATGTTTTAGTGGAATTGAGAAATTCGCACATCTTGTGCTGATTTGTAAATTTTTGTGTTTCACGGGCTTTATTCTTAAACCAGTCATTCTTTAGATGGCGAAGTTCGCGCTGGGCCGCCGCTTTCTTCTTGCAGAACGTATCAGCTATGATCCGAGACTGAGGGTTGTTCTGCCAGTCAGCTAAAGCAGGACGTTTATTATCGGTGAGTACATTGATTTGCGGGTAATTTTCATCAAACCGGTCCTGGTGTATTCTTTCGGTCTGACTGAGTCTCTCTGCAGGTTTTTGTCATGACAGTGCATGTCGAGAATATACCATTCGGCACTGGGATTTGGGTTGTTTGTTGTTGGGTTGTTTATCAGCCCATGTTCGAGCTGCTCTCTGAAAGCATATCCTACTGCTGGGTCCTCCAGACGCTTAATGTTAAAACCTCTTCTGGAGGCTTGCTGCCTTCGCCGTTTTGGGGCGACGTGAAGTAATAACTTGGCTCTGACGAGCTGATGATCAGTGTCGCAATGGTCTGAGCCACCCATGGCTCGGGTAATGAAGACATCTTGGCGATCTCTTTCTCTGACAATGATGTAGTCAATGAGATACCAGTGTTTGGATTTTTGGGTGTTGCCATGAACCCCTGAACTTGTCGGCCTGCCTAAACAAGGTATTGGTGATAGTGAGATTGTGTGCAGCACACTTGGTGAGGAGGAGTAGGCCGTTGGAATTACACTTGCGTAGTCCATTTCTCTCTATGGTTCCCTGCCAAATGTCAGCTTCTCTGCCAACTCTGGCATTGAAGTTACCAAGGAGCACAACCTTATCTTCTCAAGGGATAGAGGTTAGCACTCTGTCGGGTTCAGCATAAAAGGCCTCCATGATGTCATCCTCTGCATCCAGTGTTGGGGCGTTTTTGTTAGCCTGTGTAGGATGTGTTGGCGGATGGCAAAACCAACTCCATAAATGCGGTTTCTCTCCGCAGTAGGCTTACCCTTCCAGAAGAAGGTATAGCCAGACCCCTGTTCTGTGAGTTGGCCCTCATCTGGGAGCCGGGGCTCACTAATGGCTGCTATGTCAAGTTATACCTAGCCAGCTCTTTTGCCACAAGGGCAGTTCGGATGCTCATTTGTGCCAGTATCCAGAAGGGTCCTGACATTCCATGCAGTGACCATAAGAGGTTGTATAGTTTGTTTTTGTTTGGATCTGTAATTATGATTGTCTTTTCGACCTCATGAGGATGACCTTACTTGGTGCAGTTGCCCAGTCCGGTTGGTTCTTTTGGCAGGCTATGTTTCTAGCCCCCTCCCCATGTGAGGTGAGAAGAGTGGCTCCTCGAAAGGGCTGCTCAGCAGCACAGACAGGACCGGATTGCATAAACGACCATCTTATCTGTGCTGCCCATTTGCAGAGTTGTGACTAGAGACTCCCAGCAGTCATCTCTGCCTTTCCCCATAGCCACTCGTCCGCCACCATAGGACTTTTGGGGGTATAGGGGTTTCGGTGATGATGAGGAGTATGATGAGCTGGATGATGGCTCTTCGTGAGTTGATTTATGTGGTGAGGCAGGAGTGCAGGCTACAACCACACATCTTGGCTCTCCCTTTTCCTGATCCAGTGGTGCAAGTGTTGCAATGACTGGGGAGAGGGAGAGTTGCAATGGACTGCCTATAGCCCAGTTTGTTGGGTTTCGCCTTAGTAGCCTGTTCATCATGCATTGCCTTCATCATCTGCTGGTGTAGTCTTTGGTTCCTATGGTAGTATGGTGGTCACCTCTCCCACCTATACTGCCGTTGGTGTCTTGTTGGAGCTCTGTAAGCATGTTTGCCTGATGCAGGAGTCCACAGCAGATTCTTCGTTCAGGGTTTACTCCTGTAGCCTTATACCTATCCAGGCTAGTCCGCAAGACAGCGGGGCTGTGGTTGGAAGGCGCTAGGACGTGTCCACATACCAGTGGGCCTATGCGCCATCACTCTGGGGCCCACTGCTACTCCGAGATCCCCTATTTGTCTCGCTTGGGCCCACGAGGCACCCAGTTACCGTGTGTTGCCACGAGGAAGCACACCAGGAGTCTTGATGGTGAAGAGGCTATGTACTGGCAGGGGAAAACTTATGGAAGTTGCTTCCCTGTTCACCACGAGGGTTAGCCAGAGGCAGTTGCTGAAAGCGAGAGGAAACAAGCAATGCCTCTACCTTAACAGTAACATAATACTGTCACACTAGACGCATTACACACACACACACACACACACACACACACACACACACTGATAGACATAAGAATAGCACCATCCCATATATTGTTAAAATAATAAACAACTGATTTATGTACTGTACAGCCCTGTAAATGTATTCAACGCATATCATTATGTCTAAATCAAATGTAAGCTTGTATATTTTCAGCCACCGGCTGCAACTCTATTAATTAACCGTTTAATATTATTATTATTATTATTACACACACACACACACACACACACACACACACACACTTATTACTCCAAAAGCTCACATGACAGCCAATAACTGAAAACATCCCGTATAATTAAGAGCTGCTAAGGTTTCTTGTCACCAAGAAAGTTATTAAAATGCAATAATCATAATATTTCACACATTGTAGAGTTTTGAAGCTAACGGACAAGAATTATACGAAGACACTAAATACGTTAAGACTTCTGCCTTCCTGACTTCTTTCCCTCCTTCCTTCCTTCCTTATTTCATTCATTCTTGGACTTACATAATAGAGAGAGTTCTATCGGGGTTTTTGGCCTCCAGGTCTGGAATGAGCTTGGTCGCCACCCATTTGAAGTGACAGTCACAGTTCCAGGGGTTGTTCTGGATGTCCACATACTTGAGTCTCAACCACGGCACTAGGTCCTCCGGCAGTGCCATCAAGTTGTTGTTCTGGATGTGGATCTGTGGGTGAGAGTGGCGGTGATGGTGGTGGTTGTGATGTTGGTGGTGAACTGGTGATGGTGGTGGTATTGTTGGTTGTGGTAGAGATGGTGGTGCTGATGGTGATGTTGGTTATGGTGATGAGGGTGGTGGTGGTGGTGGTGATTGAATGGTAATACTGGTGGTGGTGGTGGTGGTTCAATGGTGATACTGGTGGTGGTGGTTGAATGGTGATACTGGTGGTGGTGGTGGTGGTGATGAGGTGCTTTACTATTAAAAGGGAATGGTGAAGTAATTTTGTAGGAATAGTGACGATGAATGTGGCGGTAGTGAAAGTGATGTTACTGATGGCGTTGAAAGTGTCGGCGACTGGTAAGTCGTCAATAATTACCGGGATGGTATATATACAGAATACGGCACTAAACTCTTTGAAAAGTTGCATGACAAAAGGGGCCATTTAAATCTGTGTAAAATCTATGCATTACACCATTACCCCTATAATAGTTTAATAACAAGAGTTACCTTCCCATCATACAGTAATTCGAAAAGTTCAGTTCATTGTCAGTCAGAGGTCAAACTCGTATCATGGGTCCCCAAATAATAATAATAATATAAGCATCACCTTAACCACCTTAACGCTCACCTAACCTAACCTAACCTTACCATTGATGATAATATGGACACATGGATTAGTGAACCGTGATAGGAAATTGCCATCTGTTTTTGGTGATATTGAATTCAAGTAAAAAAAAAATTGCCTTAAGAGAGAGGTCCCGAAACACACGATATAGTAACTTGTTTTTACTTTTTTGCCCGTTGCTTTTTTTTTTGTGGAGTCAACCTTCTTGTTTTGTGCTCAGGTCAGCTGAAGAAGGCGCAGGGGAAGCTGAATTTTGTCCAGATTTCCTTATCTTTTATTTAGTTGTCATAAAAGATATTTATTAAGAATTTTCGGTGGGGAAAATTTTTGCACGCAACTGCATATTAGCGTAGGATGTCCTATATAATTTTACGTTTTCTGTGAACATTTAGAAGTATTACAGTCGGGTAAACTAAAGTATATTTTTAAACTGCAAATTGATAAAACAAGGGATATTTTATTCCCTCTATCGAATAACCTTTACCCTCTAATTATGAATGAGATTAAGTAGACAGTGATTAAACTCTTAGAAAGGTGAGATTGGGTGTATCGATAACCACATTCCAGGATTTACCAATTAGTAAATACAGTACAGTATCATACGTTATATTTCCTTCAAATGATTATTAACCCTCAGCGTATATTATTTCCGACCCCTTAATATACTCCACCATCTTAGCACCCATCATCCCCCCCACCCATAACTGCCCATATACAGTACAGTATACCGACCTCCTGAAGAGCCAATTTGTCATCCATTACGGGGTAGAAGGCTTTACGGTCAATGACTGAGAGCAGGGGGTTGTCTGAGAGCTGGAGCACCTTCAGGCTCGAGAGACTGGAGAAGGCCTGAGCCCCCACGTTCCTGAGGTCGGGCATAGCGCACATCTGCAGCTCCTGTAGCGTCGACAACCCCGCTTGGAAGTCTCCCGTCATGATGCTCTGTGGGGAGGACGGAGAGTAGATATGGACCGAGAGTTACCGAAGGAGGAGGAAGATGATGAAGGAGGAGGGGGAGATAGGAAGAAAAAAAGGAGGAAGAAGAGGGGGAAGGAGGAGGGGAGGAAGCAGGAGGGGGAGGAAGGAGGGGGGGAAGGGAGGAGAAGGGGGGAGGGGGAAGGAGAAGGTGCAGAAGAAATATCTTGCAAAAAACTTTAGCATGAAACTTACAACGAATTTATTGTATTGTTTACTTTTGAATACACGAATAATTATAAGACCTTTATTTGTTGACGTGTATTAATACATTACAACATCAACAACAATATCAAGTAAGCATTGAATAATACAACACAACAACAACAACAACATCAAGTGAGAACTACACAACAACAACAACAACATCAAGTGAGAACAGCAGCAACAACAACAACAACATCAAGTGATAACTACACAACAACAACAACAACACAGCTCAGTACTAACCACGATGGGGTTGGCGTTCAGGTTGAGGTGGACGAGGTTACGAGCGTAGTTGATCTCCGAGGGCACCGTCGTGAACCGGTTCTCCGCCAGTGTCAGTACCTGCAGGTTCCTGTACGAGGGGGAAGCGAACTTGATGAAACTGTACGTGGGGGAAGGAAACTTGGTGAAACTGTACGTGGGGGAAGGAAACTTGGTGAAACTGTACGTGGGGGAAGGAAACTTGGTGAAGGAAAAGAACTGTATGTACGTGGGGAAGAGGAAGCTTGGTGAAACATGGGGAAGAAACTTGGGTGAAACTGTACGTGGAAGCGAACTTGGTGAAACTGTACGTGGGGGAAGGAAACTTGGTGAAACTGTACGTGGGGGAAGGAAACTTGGTGAAACTGTACGTGGGGGAAGGAAACTTGGTGAAACTGTACGTGGGGGGAAGCAAACTTGATGAAACTGTACGTGGGGGAAGGAAATTTGGTGAAACTGTACGTTGGGGAAGGAAACTTGGTGAAACTGTACGTGGGGGAAGGGAACGTACAGTAACAAGTCTCTCTGTACTGTACGTGGGGAACCTAATTAGAGAAATATAACTCTTCCTTCTGTCAGTCTTCATAGATTCACGTTACATGGAGAAACTGACATGACCAACCTAATTAATTATTTCCCAAACGTTAATGTCTGAAGGTTCGTGTACGTGGGGAATCTTGACGGGGGAGACCTTAATGACTTATATTTTATCCTAACCAAAGTGGCTGTAGGTTCCTATATACATGAGGGAACTGAGAAACTTATAATATTGTATTTCATTCATACTTCACCCTCCCCTCCCCTGCCCTCTCCAAGTCCAGTATCCTTATAGGAGTGTCTTACCAGGAACCAACCACTGTATTCTCTCTCTCTCTCTCTCTCTCTCTCTCTCTCTCTCTCTCTCTCTCTCTCTCTCTCATCACCTCACCTGAGATCGGTCAAGAAGTGGTTTGGTAGTCGGTTTAACCCCGTCTGGGAGAGGTCGAGCTCCCTCAGGTTGTGTAGCTCGTTGATGGCAGCTCCCATGGCCCAGGAGATGTCCGTAATGGGGTTGTGGGAGAGGAAGAGCCGCTTCAGGTAGGGCAGGTGCTTCAGGGTGTGGCTCTTGAAGCTACTGATCTGGTTATAGCTTAGGTCCAACTCCTCCAGGGCTAGAGGCTCGAGGAAGCTGTCGTTGTATTTCCCTGAGCATTGTTTGAAGTGGAAAGGATGATGAGATTTTTGGAGGTGTCGTTTGTCTGTCTATCTGTCTGTCTGTCTGTCTGTCTCTCTCTCTGTGTCTATCTGCTTGTCTTTATTGTCTCTGTCTGTCTGTCTGTCTGTCTGTCTGTCTCTCTGTGTCTATCTGCTTGTCGTTACTGTCTGTCTGTCTGTCTGTCTGTCTGGGTTCGTCTGCCTGGGTCTGTCTGTCTGTTCCCTCTCTCTGTGCTCCATCTGCTTTTCTGTCTTTATTGTCTCTTGTCGTTACTGTCATCTTGCCCGCCTTGGTTCGTCTGTCTCTTCTGTGTCTATCTGCTTGTCTTTTTATTGTCTCTGTTCACCTGTTGTCTGTCTTCGTCTGCCTCTCTTGCAGGCTCATCTGCTGTCTTTATTGTCTCTGTCTGTCTGTCTGTCTGTCTCTCTCTGTGTCTATCCTCCGTTTGTCTTTATTGTCTCTGTCTGTCTGTCTGTCTGCTGTCTGTCTGTTCGTGTTTCATCTGCTGCCTTATTGTCTCTGTCTGTCTGTCTGTCTGTGCTCATTCGCTTGCTCCCTTTATTGTCTCTGTTCGTCTGTCTGTCTGTCTGTCTGTCTCTCTCTCTGTGTCTATCTGCTTGTCTTTATTGTCTCTGTCTGTCTGTCTGTCTGTCTGTCTGTCTCTCTGTGTCTATCTGCTTGTCGTTACTGTCTGTCTGTCTGTCTGTCTGTCTGTCTGTCTGTGTCTATCTGCTTGTCTTTATTGTCTCTGCTTAAAAATCTGTAAAATAAATTTGCTTATGGCATAATTTTGATGATTTGTCTCTGTCGTTACTGTCTGCCTGTCTGTCTGTCTGTCTGTCTGTCTGTCTGTCTGTCTGTCTGTCTGTTACTTCCTTTATCTATCTCTGGTAATAAATCTTTAAAGAAAATCGATAAATGTACTGAAATCTATATCTCGGATTTTATGTCAAGTATTTCTTATAAAAACACGATAATGTAACCCGTAATAGACATTGTGTCAGTTACAATCTATACCGAGTCTATTAGAACCTCAATAGACAGGTTCGAATGTATTTTTCTCAGCAATAGACAGTTTAATAGATTATTTTCAGGAATAGACAGCTGTTACATAGTGTAGGTCAAGACAAGTGTTACAAAGTGTAGGTCAAGACAAGTGTTACATAGTGTAGGTCAAGACAAGTGTTACATAGTGTAGGTCAGGACAAGTGTTACATAGTGTAGGTCAAGACAAGTGTTACATAGTGTAGGTCAAGACAAGTGTTACATAGTGTAGGTCAAGACAAGTGTTACATAGTGTAGGTCAAGACAAGTGTTACATAGTGTAGGTCAAGACAAGTGTTGCATAGTGTGGGGTCCAGACAAGTGTTGTTACATAGTGTGGAAGTCCAAGACAAGTGTTACATAGTGTGAGTCCAAGACAAGTATTTTTAAGTAGCAGTTCCAAGACCGTGTTACATAGTGTGGGGTCAAGACAAGTGTTACATAGTGTAGGTCCAAGACAAGTGTTACATAATTAGCAGAGGTCAAGACAAGTGTTACATAGTGGCAAGTCCAAGACAAGAGTGTTACATAAGAGTATGGAGGTCCCAGGACAGTGTTACATGAGTGAAGTCCGCTTTACAAGTGTTACATAGTGCTGGAATCAGGACAAGAGTGTTATATAGTATGAGAGTCAAGACAAGTGTTACATAGTGTAGGTCAAGACAAGTGTTACATAGTGTAGGTCAGGACAAGTGTTACATAGTGTAGGTCAAGACAAGTGTTATATAGTGTAGGTCAAGACAAGTGTTACATAGTGTAGGTCAGGACAAGTGTTACATAGTGTAGGTCAAGACAAGTGTTACATAGTGTAGGTCAAGACAAGTGTTACATAGTGTAGGTCAAGACAAGTGTTACATAGTGTAGGTCAAGACCAGTGTTACATAGTGTAGGTCAAGACAAGTGTTACATAGTGTAGGTCAAGACAAGTGTTACATAGTGTAGGTCAGGACAAGTGTTACATAGTGTAGGTCAGGACAAGTGTTACACAGAGGGTGGAGGGTGACACACTTACCTTTAAAGACGTTCTCGTTTAGGCTGTCAACCGTCAAGTTGTTGTTCTGGAGGATGAGGATCTTTAGGTCAGGTAGGTTCTTGAAGGCCTCGTCTGACAGCTTGTTGATGTTGTTCCTCCTGTAGGTGATGGTAAGGAGAGGTGAGCTCTCTCTCTCTCTCTCTCTCTCTCTCTCTCTCTCTCTCTCTCTCTCTCTCTCTCTCTCTCTCTCTCTCTCTCTCTCTCTCTCTCTCTCTCTCTCTCTCTCTGATCATATGGTAATACTATTAATAATAATAATAATGATAATAATAATATAACTTTAGTAATAAAATAATAATGATAATGTTAACACTAACAATAGTAACAAAACTAAAATAAAAATAACAATAAGAACACCAACAACCACAGTAGTATGCGCCACCACCCAGATCTAATACTTTCCAGGTTGTGTCGTGGAGCCATTTATCTCTTCAGTAATAGCGCCATAAATCCCCCCTCCCCCCCACCCCCAAAGAGAGAGAGAGAGAGAGAGCTTAACTGCTGGTCACATTTTTCCTCCTTAATATCTTTTCCTTTAAGCTATCTGTATCCCTTTAATCGCCCGATAAAGCGACCATGAACCCAAGCACTCAACTTACCATAATCAAATACTCCTTTACTGCCCTACTTGAGGTTACAAATGTTGGCTTGTAAATTTCTAGGGAACGATCGAGTGTTTAGAGGTAGGATTGCAAGAGAGGAAGTGTCTGTTTATCTGGAGTATTTTGGTGGTGATGAATGATGATAGTGTGTCTGAGTCTTGGTTTAAAATTGGTTTATATTTGTTCGGGTTTAATTATGTTTATAGTATACCACTAAGTTGAGCCAAGTAATTATTACTGTAACTGAGCCAGGTGATTATTACTGTATATCTAAGCCAGGTGACTCACTGTATCTAAACCAACCTTATTAAAACTCCTTATACGTATTAAAATTACAAGTACAACTCACATAACATTGATGATGAGACAAATCATAATGACACAGGATTATACTAGATTTTTCCTATAATTTGATACACGTAACATATATAAATTATATATACTGTATATATATATATATATATATATATATATATATATATATATATATATATATATATATATATATATATATATATATATATATATATATATATATATATATATATATATATATATATATATATATGCTTATTTAATCACCGGTGGTATTAAACATTTAGTGTTTTTTCTTTTCCTGGTGGTTACTGTGCTACGCTGTATACCTAGATCACGCGCAATTTTACAGTGATTTACTTGCATATATATATATATATATATATACATATATATATATATATATATATAGTTGCTACATATATATATATATTTTTTTATATATATATATATATATATATATATATATATATATATATATATATATATATATATATATATATATATATGCTGATAACCACAAGGAAAGAAGAAAACACGAAGTTCCCAAGCGCTTTCGTGTAATTCACATCTTCAGGGGTGAGTACAGACTAAAGAGGAGTACAAAACAAGGTGTATATATACAGAGGAGGGTGAGACCAGGTCCACAATGGTCAGGTATTAGGTAATGACCCTACTAATCTTTAAATAGCACACAACGGTTGGTGGTCAGGTCAGATGGTCAAGTGACCCGGCCTTCTCACCTGATCACAAATCTTCTTAATTACAAAATTGTCCAGCTTGTACATGCCGTTACTCAAATTCATGTTGAATGCTTCGGTATGTTTAATAAGACTAGATTCTATAATGTTCCTACTGTCAATTGACTTACATGGTAATATTGAGGAGGCATTATCCCAGTCAATGCAATGCTTGTTATCCCTCAAATGAACAAACAGAGCATTGGATTCCTGGCCTGTCCTAACACTGTATTTGTGTTGCTTAATTCTAGTTGCAAGATCTTTACCTGTCTGGCCTAAGTAAAACATATTACATTCCTTGCAAGGAACTTTATAAAATGCGCTTGTGGGGAACTTCGTGTTTTCTTCTTTTCCTCAGGTTATCAGTATATATATATATATATATATATATATATATATATATATATATATATATATATATATATATATATATATATATATATATACATATATATACACAACAATAAAGCTTTTATATTTATTGAGACGAATTACAGAATGATAATAGATAATTATTGATATGTAGGTATATATAAAAGTTAATTAGGTGTATAGTTGTAGCCAAAATTCCCTGAACACTTGGGCAATATTTGGCATCTATTTCAGGGTCACATATATGTTTGGTTTATATCTAATAACGCTTCCTTTCATCACTTATTATGTCAGAATAACACACACACACACACACACACTACATCCTTGACCACCGGAGGGTCAAGATCTATCAGGCGCTGCTCAGCTGCCCCCCTTGGCCAATGTCGGCCCATTCCTCAAGTCCCGCTCCCCGACCCATCCTCACCACAGGGATATCTACATAATCAAAACTGACAATTTCGTGTCGGAAAGAAGTGGGATCAGTGTTGAACAGTGTTCAAGCCAGTGAATTCAGCACTAAACAGTATCAGCAAGAGCAGTGACTCACCAGTGAGATAAGCACCCCAAGGAACTGACAACCATCTTCTCACCAGGCGGTGTTAATCAGTTCACCATGGGAACTGCAGGTAGCCGGCTTTACACCTGACTACGAGATAACACAACACCACCTAGCAGAGAGTGAGGTACTGTGGCACCACCCACCCGGTGTCTCCATGACGTGAGGTCCTTCATATCAACACCCGAGGACGAGTTACTGCACCACGTGAACACCACACCACCCGGTGCAAACTATAATAATTTGTATGATCAATTCATGTTCCTTCCTTCGGTTATGAAAGCTTTTGTTAAACGACCCACCCACCCATGTCTTTGTGTGTAATAAGTCTTTTGTCTAAGGTATATTTTCAGCGGGCTGCAGAACTTTCAATAAACCGTTATTGTTATTATTATTATTATTGTGTGTGTGTATGTATTTATTATTACACACACACACACACACACTACAGAGAAACGACAGAAAATACGATAAAATTCCAAGTGTCCGGGGAATATTGTCATCAACTGTACACAGAGACGCACGGGCTAGAGAATCCCTGCAGGCACACACAGCCACGTCTTAAGTAGAGAGGAACTTTACCTGAATATAAGATTCACCATGTTGGGAAGGAGAGGAAACTGTGTCACTTCCTGTATGAGGTTGTTAGAGAAGTCCAGTTCCCAGGGGATGGTGAAGTTGTCGCGGCTCATGTCCGGTATCTGGGGAGAGGGGGAGCTCAGGTCAGCTCAGGTTAAGTTAAGTTAGGCTATCTAGCACAGGTCCTGTGTTGTGTATTATGATAAGGTATTTCAGTGTGTACTTTTAGTTAGAGCTTTGGGAACTTTGTAATTATACCGTCTATAATTCCAAAGGGTCTTATTATAGATGAAACCCTAGAGTTATTTTGTATTTAATTTATAGAGCTGCCATGTTATTTAGTGCTAATATAATTCATGAGTCATATAATTATTATTTATTTGATAATTCAGGACCCCCTAATATTTATATCCTATAATTGCCAAGACTCAGTATAATTATCACTTCTATCATCCACTTCTGTAATTCCAGGACTTGTGCATTCATTATTTCTTCCGTCATCACACGACTCACTATAATTAAGCCTCCTATCATTCGAAGCCTCACCTAGTAATTATCTCTTCTGTAATACTGTACCATGAATCACAATAATTACAGTATCTCCTATATCATTCCAGGACTCATTATAATTATCTCTCCTATAATTCCACGATTCACTAGAATTACAGCATTTTTCATTATCATTCCAGGACTCACTATAATTAGCTCCCCTATAATAGCATGAATCACTATTAGTATTTTATCATATATCATTCCAGGACTCACTATAATTAGCTCCCCTATAATAGCATGAATCACTATAATTACAGTATTTTATCATATATCATTCCAGGACTCATATATTGCTCCTATATGCATGAATCACTATAATTACAGTATTTTATCATATATCATTCCAGGACTCACTATAATTATGTCTCTCTTATCACACCAGCACACACCTTCCTCATGTCAGTAGTGGTACAGTCGACATCATAGGGCTGAAGGTCAAGACACACATGGAGCAGATGACTGGGGCCTCGTTCTCCCCCGTCACCGCCAGCACCATCACCGCCGCCGTCACCAGCAACACCTGGCGGGGAGACAGAGAGACAAGGACGTCAGGTTGGGATATAGGTGGGTGTCTTGGTTTTTGTCCGTCGCATATAGAGAAGCAAGTTATGTCTGGTTGTTTGTTGAAGATGTGTCAAGTTATGAGGAGAGTTTATTGACCTGACTATCATAACAGGTAATTTAGGCCTCACAGTCAGTACACCGGAGGGGACGTGTACTGTACAAACACACGTCTCTCTCTCTCTCTCTCTCTCTCTCTCTCTCTCTCTCTCTCTCTCTCTCTCTCTCTCTCTCTCTCTCTCTCTCTCTCTCTCTCTCTCTCTGTATATATGACACACAATGGCGGAAATATATATATATGAAATGTCATAATTCATGCAACGTTAGATTTACATTATTGTTTGAACCATTGATGCTACTGTTTATTGTAGGTTGGGCTGACAGTAATTGTGTGGCATATAATGTCTTTGTGACCAGTTACATTGAACATTCTTTTACTTATAAATTTTTCGTGTTAGTGAATCTTGTGTAGTAATTTTCCATTTCCGGCACTGCAAACATGGGACCATATTGTACACCACTACGGTTGCGATAAAATACCATTACAAATGAGTTTTAACATAGTACCCCATGAAACCAAGATGACCATTTTTTGTGACTGGGTTTTAGGGGACACTATAACAGTTCCCTCACGTGGCGATAAATTATGGATAAAATTGCAGAGAAAATAATACGAACAGAAAAAATGTAAATGCGTTGAATTTGTTTTCTCTCTAACTTCGAATTATTTTATTGGGAAAATTGAATCAGTATTTACAGAGAACGTGTTAGAAAGGAAAAGAAATAGTTTTAAGGCGCTGGAGCTGCTTATTAATACCAATTTCTTGTTATAAACGTCACCTTGAAGTGCCAGTTGAATTGTGACATGGCTGACCATATTGCTTTATACGAAATAATTTGTGAAAATTAGTTCTTCATCAGTATAATAATTAAGGATCATTTCTACAGTGTTGCTTTTAGTAATCATATTATGAATTTATATTTTTTATAGATAGATAGATAGATAGATAGATAGATATTCAGTTTGATAAAATTTACACTCAGAATCTTAAGGCATGTGAGAATACTGTAAATAAATATAGGACATATAGTCTTTACACAACCTTTAATACTTTGATAATATGTAATAATAATAATAATAAGAATAATAATAGCAATGATAACAACAACAATACTACTACTACTACTACTACTTTTTTTTTTTTTTTAATACGTGGCCTCCAGCCTCCCCAATAGCCACACCTTCGCCACCATTTAATTACCTTAATATTAAATATCCTAATACATATGTAGCTATCCTATCTGTGTTAAATTAGTTGAGCCGCAGATCTATGCGGCATTCAGTGACTGTTGCCTCATAGTCGATATCTGCAGCAGTTGTCGGAATTGGGGCAGAAGCTCTCGTTCCCCTGAGGCAGAGCAAAGCAGACCGAAGGAGAGAGAAAGACAGTCGACATCTCATCCAGGCTGTAACGAAACTTCTGGGCTGCTGCTTTTGTTCGGAGATCACCTCCGCGAGTCTGGCGTAGAAACATCTTGCACTTGGGCCCATCCCACCAGAGGTTGTGAACACTAGAGGAGTGAAGCTGCCTTGATCAACGTTCTGAATTCTCTCCCCATATTCCCTTATCTTGTCGTTCTCGTTCCTCCTGTGTGCAGCATCGAGAGCTAAGTTATGGTGACATGCGGCCATGGGATCAAAAATCCTGATGTCGAAGAAGGCTCTCTGTCTTCGCGTCCAGAATCCACGAGCACTGATGTCAACACGGGCTTCGTTGGATGTGTTTGAAGTCCTATGTTGGAAATTCTCACTGTCCGATGGAAGGGGGGTCAGTTCTACCCTGACATCACGACAGATTTCCTTCAACATATTTGCCGTGAGATCCCTTACTTCGTCATGCCTCATGCATATGAAGCCCCCTTTCTTGCACACCATAGCGTGATCGACGTCATAGGAAGAGCCACACACGCATTGGGAGGGCAAACCTTTTACTGGCCTACCGTAACTTAGAGCAATGGCATCTGTAAATTCTTGCTTATTGAGACTGAAACCATTTGCCCTTTCGGTAACGTAGTTAACCAGTTCGAGGCGCCCACCTCCTGCGCTATAGCTACCTTTTTTCTTCAAATTCTCTGGTACTTGCTTCTTCAGTTGCTGCAACTTATCACTTTGGTCGTTCTGTCGTAATGGACCTTCGAATCTTGTTTACTTCACTGGTATCCACCTCACCTGTTTCGTTCAGAGCTATTATGTGGTCAGTGAGGGTTGCCGTGAGCTTAACTGAGTTTTGATGTTCTGTGGCAGCAAACTCCTCTGGATTGGTCAATCCCATTCCTCCCAGTCTCGGTGGTAGTGCATGTGGCTCTGTGTTAGCAATATCAGACAGGGCTTGGATTTCCCTAACCCACTCATTCACCTTTCCTGTTACGTACTCGGTCTTGAAGTCCGTCGTGCCGATTACTGCGCCTATGTGTCTTTGGCCATCCTTTGTTAATTTGTCCTCACTTACACCGAACACCTCCATTGCCCGTTCATTATGTTCTGGCTTCACAATGAGGAAGGACTTGCTGGCGTTTGGGTGGTACCCTATTTGTGGACCTCGTGATGTTATCAGGTCCCACCACTTTTTGATGTCCTCCACTTTTCCTGCTTCTGTAAGGTCATCAGCATATGCCACTTGCTTGACCTCGGTTGTTTCAAATTTTATTGTGTGTTGGAGCACTGATAGACCTATTGCGTACATTGCCATTGCAAAAGGGTCCCCCTACGTTGTTCCCTCAGTTTACTGTATGATGGTATCCCCTCTTAGAGCCTTGTTGTTTACTCTATAGAGGTCTGATGGATTCCTATAGATGTTTTCAACATACATTGCAAAGCTTGGACACTTGATCTTGATGTTGTGCAGTGCGGCCTTGCGGTTAAGTATGTTGAATGCGTTTGAAGCATCCACTAGGAGAACGGCCTCACAATCACGCTGCTCAAATATCTTTCTCGTGGCGTGAATGGCCGCCTCCCCACCAGCCTGGTGGCCAGCACAAACTTGCAGGTTCCCTGCCGCTGCTCTGACATCATCCTTTACCACCTCCATTATGCATTTTCCGATGATCCGCCTCAGCACTTCCCCCACCCCTATAGGCCTACATCCTAGATTATTATCCAGGGGACTGAGGCGGCAGGCCGTCAGAGCATGGAGGTGTTAGCAGCACCAGGTTGCTAGCTTTCTTGCAAGGGCGGCAATGGCAGTGCAGAGATCACTTGCTACGGGGCCAAACTTGTTAGTGCTGAGGATGACTCTCCAGCCGTTTGCATCCAGGCCTGAAGGGCCAGCCCCTCCCCGAGTTTTCAGTGCCTTTTTCCACACCATCCCTCCTGTTATTTTCTCGAACAGGACAGCATTTGGTGGGATATAGTCACCTGGAACCTGATGCCTTCCTCTTCACTTGCAGGGAGATGTTTTTCCTTTAGTTGTTTTAATGTCTCTCTGTTTGTTGGCAGAACACCACCGGAGGATTCCTCTGTGAGAGATCTTATTGCCATAGACACTTTTCCCACACGCATTTTGTTGCCAAACTTTCTTACAACGTCATCGGTGTTTTGCTTTCCGTCTCCTATAAATTTTAGTCTCTCCTGCAGTGTTCTTGCTTCACATAAGGGCCCCATTCTGCCACATTGTCAATCTTCTCTTCAATGCTGCCACATTTTCTTTGTGCCTAGTCCCTGTGTGTGTCCTCTGACAGAATAGATGTGGTATTATTGCCAGTATTTGAAGAACTAAAGGGGCAAGGAAACAGTCCTGAGTGTACTCGGTTATGAGGCGAGTCATCTCCCGAATCATTTCTTTGGTGGCCGCACACTTGGGTGGTTACTACTACTACTACTACTACCACTACTACTACTACTACTACTTTTTTTTAAACGTGGCCTCCAGCCTCCCCACAGCCACACCTTCGCCACCATTTATTTATTTACCTTAATATTAAATATCCTAATACATAGCAACTTTCCTATCTGTGTTAAATTAGTTGAGCCGCAGATCGATGCGGCATTCAGTGACTGTAGCCTCATAGTCTGATATCTGCAGCAGTTGACGGGTAGGGGCAGAAGCTCTCGTTCCCTGAGGGCAGAGCAAAGCCGACCGAAGGAGAGAAGGACAGTCGACATCTCATCCAGGCTGTGACATAACTTCTGGGCTGCTACTACTACTACTACTGCTACTTCTACTACTACTACTTAAAAATATAATAATAATGCCCTAGCCTAATCTACAGTATGCTAGTAAAACCTAGGCTCTCTGCACAATAGCAATAAAAGGCTTGTGTGTGTGGGAGGGGGTTGGTTAATATACCGTTAGTTTCGAGGCCCTGTGTGTGTGTGTGTCATCAGAGGTTACTTACTTTCTTAGATTACACAGGTTAGATATTTTTTCTGCCTTATCATTATATTTAAAGAAAGCATTTTCGTTGATATTTCAATTGGATTAGATATCGTCGACCCCGGGTTTATATTACTGAATGTTGGATCTGAACGTGATTATTATTATTATTATTATTATTATTATTATTATTAGTGGTAGTAGTAGTAGTAGTAGTAGTAGTAGTAGTAGTAGTAGTAGCAGTAGTAGTAGTAGTATAAAGGGATTGCTTGCGACATTCCAGGTATTCGCCGTAACATATTAAAGAGTTGTTGTTCCGTGTTAATTTTGAGGGTTTGTGAGGAGAGACGTGAAGTATTCCAGGAACTGTGTAAAGGCAAGAACTGGTGTAGAAGGTATGTGTTTGAAGGTGTCTCCTGTATAGCCACTGGGGTATTATTATTATTATTATTATTATTATTATTATTATTATTATTATTATTATTATTATTATTATTATTTTTGGTGTTGTTGTTGTTTTTCTTTTTGTTATTATTATTGTTGTTGTTGCTGCTGTTAATATTTACATTCTTGTTATTATCATTAATCATAATGATAAATATCAAGTGAGAGAAAGCATTTATGTGATAATTAATCATAGTGTGTGTTAGCTCAGTGGACCCTGTAGTGTAGCTCCAGGGAAGGAAAGAAAACGAAACGCAAATACTTCACACAAGTAGTTCAATACATTAATGACAGAAAAATACAGTTTTTGAGAATATTAAGAAAAAAGGCATGCACCAACGTCCGCGGTACATAGGTTATCATGGGTCAGTGATGTAAGGTTGCCAATGATGACCCACTATCCTCGTCAGGTCCTCGCCCCGGCTCACTTGTTTACTGATAATAATGAATCACGTGTGACCAGTCCTGTGAGAGTGGCTACTACAGGCCTGTCGACCTCTTTGGGACAGTGGGGATACAGTGCGCTGCATACTGAACTTTGGGTACACAAGGAGGCAGTGTTCCCGCCTGTGTACTCGCCTGCCTTCACCTCAGCTGTAAAGTTAGGTACACGTCAGCAGCTGGGTGGACTTGGGGTTCCTTGGGCGCATGTTACAGGAATTACCCAAGGTTTTACCCAAACAGAGGGAGGACCTATGGGGCAGGGGTAAGATTTGCCGATTTCCAAGCAAGTGATAAATTATCTTGTTTAATTATTGTACTGAAGACTCCACGTATCTGGCGTGGTAAAATAATACTGTTTGCTGTAAGTATTTCCTCTGCCATTGTGGGTTTTTTTCACACTTTTCTTCACGTTATGGTGACTCCAGCCGTTAATAAATTTCATAAAACTTTTTTTTTTTTTTAGCCAGATTGTAAACGTCACTCGCCGTACAAGGAGCCGCTACCTGTTGATCGTTACTATCACGGGTACAACTTGCGGTCCACCGATGATACAAACGTTAAAATATAAATAAGTCTCTCATAACCTGTGATTCTAATTATTGGTTCAGTGAAGTTGATGGTGAAAGCAACTTACTGGTGTCTTGTGACTTATATAAGTTTGAGATGTTCATTATACGTGCAACTAGTTTTAGAAGGAAGATAAAAAAATAAGTAGAATAATAATAATAATAATAATAATAATAATAATAATAATAATAATAATAATAATAATAATAACGAGGAGAGGAAGATCTACTTTTTATAATATATGGCTGTTCAGTATTTTGAAAAAGAAGAAAATAAAGACGAAGAGAATACAAGAAGAGAAGAGAAGACAGGAAGGGAGAATAAGAATTGTGGTCACAGGTTGGGGGACACCAGAGGGATGAGAGAGACGCCACCACCAGGAGTGAAGGAAAAATTCTCCCCCGAAGTTTCAAACTCTAAGACAACTAATGTGGGGCGGGATTCTCAGAGACCCTTGGGAAATGTGTGTGTCCGTCGTAGGTGAAGATGTTAACATTAATCTAATTAACTTAAACTGTAGAAAAAAAATTATATATCACAAATTTACATCTGAATCACGTTGTCACTCTACTTTTAACTTGGTAGAGAATAATATAAAAGACATTCCCCCGTTTTAATTCTATTCTCTCCAGCTGGTACTAAGTGAACATGTCTCGTTAAGGCAGAGTAGCACTTCTTTTTTAATGTTAACTTAGGATATATATTTGTTTGTACGGTACAATAAGTTAAAACAGAATCAGTTCCATCCTGACGTCTTCGCTTACGAGGAATATTCAGTTATTCGCCTCAGGAGCCTGTGTGAGTCCTGTCCCTTTCTCATGGAAAGTAACTTTAGGAGTCGAATGAAACTTAAGGAATTTATAGATGATATTAAAGGGATAACTTCTGCACTTGGCCGTATATTTAACTTGTGCCATTCCCCCTTGATGCACACTGCTGTTGGCTGCGAGGGGAGGATGAAGGTGGGGTGGTGAGAGGGGAGGGTGAAGGTGGGTTGAGAGAGTAAGGAGGTGAGGCTGGGCAGGAGAGGGTGAGGGTGGGTGGGTAAGTGTTATGTGAGGGTGAGGGTGGGAAGGAGGGCGCTTGACGACTTACTGAATAAATGGTGTTGGACAATTTAATTACCCCGAGTTAAGAAGAAAAATATACAAAACGAAGAAGGGAAGGACATGTTGACTTAATCTGATCACTTAAGACCATGGAAAAACTCGAGCAGTTGTAGAAAACGAGAAATGAATATGTGTAAGTTGAAGACAATGGTAAGTGATATCTGTAACTGTTTAAGAAGACGGTAAAGTGAATATTTATAGCTGTTGTCGATACCAAAGTCAAGTATTACCCATACCAATAAGATTCACAGTTAACATGTACGGTTTTTTACGTTAGTTAAGTAATTATCCCCTACCACCTGTTTTATCTACGTCCTGTGTACCTCCATAACAAGGGGAATTGTTGATATTGAGTAGGACTGAATATTTTAGGGTCTATGTGTGGTTATTGGTATTGGCAGAGAGTACATTTTGACCCACCATGAGTACCAGATACCCTAATACTCGAGCCACTTTGGGGGTACTAAAAGAAACGCAATATTGTCAGCAGTTGATAAAGAGAAAAGAGAAAAGTGAATATTGGTTGGTGATGGTAGACAGCAGCGGGTCTTCATGGCGGGTTGATAGCCCACTAAAACACTGGTTATGGCCACCCCAGTTTTCTCAACACTCAATAAAGCCCAAAGTAAAAAGTGGATGCATCGTTTGGGAGGGGAGAGGGGGTGGGCTGGGATGGTAGGGGGAAGGGAGAGGTTTTGAGGGTGAGAGGGAGGAGGGAAACTGGGGAGGAGGGATGGAAGGGTGAGGTTGAGGTTGAGAGAAGGGAAGGAGTGGGGTGTGTTGGAGGGAGAGGGTTGATGGGGGACTTGGATGGGGGAGGTTGATGGAGGGAGACTGGGATGGAGGAGGGAATAGAGGGTTGAGGTGAGAGAGGGAGGGAGGAAAAGAGGGGTTGAGGACGGTGGGAGGGAAGAAGAAGGATGAGAGGCAGACGAAGGTGGGAAAAGAGGGCGAGAAGGTGAGAGGACTGAGAGTGAGGTATCAGGGATATAGGGGGTGATGAGGAGAGGGAGGTAGGGGAGGGTGAAGGAGGGAGGGAGGTAGGGAGGGTGAGAGGGAGGTAGGGAGGGTGAGAGGGAGAGGTAGGGAGGGTGAAAGAGAAAGGAGAGTGGAGATGGAGAGTGAGAACCGCTATTAGGAGAGAGACATGATGTAAACACTGCCTCACACACGTAACAGTAATAGTCAAAGCGCAAACGTTGGTTCATTTAATCACAAGGCATTAAGTTAATTGTTGTGGGGTGGTGGTGATGATGGTGGTAGTGGTGTTGGTGAAGGTGGTGGTGGTGGAGGGGATGAAGGTGATGGTGGAGGTGGTGGTGAGGTGGGGGTGAAGGTGGGGGCAGAGGTAGGGGTGATAGTGGTGGAGGTGGCGGTGAAAGTGGGTGTTGGAAGTGATGGTGTAAGGTGGTGGTGAAGGTGTGGTGGTGGTGGTGGGGGTGAAGGTGGTGGTGGAGGTGGTGGTAATGGGATTGAGAGGAGGTGGGGGTGGGAATTAGAGAGTGGTGGTAGGGGTGGAAGGAGGTGGAGGTAATGGTAGGGGGTGAAGGTGGTGGTGGTGGGGGTGAAGGTGGTGGTGGAGGTGGTGGTAATGGGATTGAAGGAGGTGGGGGTGAGGTGAAAGTGGTGGTAGGGGTGGAGGAGGTGGAGGTAATGGTAGGGGTGAAGGTGGTGGTGGTGGTGAGGGTGTTGGTGTTGGTGAAGGTAGTGGTGGTGGTCAAGGCGGTGCTACCCAACACACCTCGGTCTGTTAACCACCAACACCTCACTAAGTTGTGCAAACACTCGTAATAGACACCAGACGCCCGGTCCCCTGAAACCTTCCCACGCCACCCCCACCTTCCTTGAACCTTCCAATGACAATTATCCCTACCCTGGAATTTCTTACACCCTTCTGATTCTTGAAGGACCCTTTCAATGCCTTACTGCACCTTCTTAGTTATTCCTAGGTTGATGTCTTCCCCAAATCCCAGAGTCCGCCTTGTCTTTATGGGCCATATTGGTCCTTCCCACACCTCTAGAGTTCTTATTGGTTCTCCCCACACCTCCAGAGTTCATTTTGGCCTTTTCCACACCTCTAGAGTTCCTATTGACCCTTCCCACACCTCCAGAGTTCCTATTGGCCCTTCCCACACCTCCAGAGTTCCTATTGGCCCTTCCCACACCTCCAGAGTTCATTTTGGCCTTTTCCACACCTCTAGAGTTCCTATTGGCCTTTTCCACACCTCCAGAGTTCCTATTGGCCCTTCCCACACCTCCAGAGTTCCTTGGTCTTTCCCACCTCCAGAGTTCCTATTGGTCAGCACACCTCCAGAGTTCTTATTGGATCCCACACCTCCAGAGTTCCTATTGGCCCTTTCCACCCCTACAGATTTCTTATTGGTTCTTCCCACACACCTCAAGTTCCCTATTGGTCTTCCCACACCTCCAGAGTTCCTATTGGCCCTTCCCACCCCTCCAGATTTCTTATTGGTTCTTCCCACACCTCCAGAGTTTCTATTGGTCCTTCCCACGCCTCCAGAGTTCTTATTGGTTCTTCCCACACCTCCAGAGTTCCTATTGGTCCTTTCCACCCCTCCAGAGTTCCTATTGGTCCTCCCCACACCTCCAGAGTTCTTATTGGTTCTTCTCACACCTCCAGAGTTCCTATTGGTTCTTCCCACCCCTCCAGAGTTCCTCCAGAGGTTCCAATTGGTCCTTCCCTCACCTCCACCGTCTTGCTGGATCTTCCCATATCTCACTAAGATGTCCTTAATATTCCTACACATAGTCCCAGTTGAGCTTCCCACGGCTTCGGGAGCCGCTCTGAATCTCCTCTCGTCACTTAGAATCCCCAGGGACCTTCTCACACCTTCTGGAGTCCCTGTAGCCCTTCACAATGCGAGGACTCCTGTGATAATATATTAAGACACATGTAGGGACCAATAAACAGTAATATTTTCCCCATTGTAATAAACCCGTGACACTACACTACACCTACAAATTATTAAGTATCTTGTAGAATTTGCCAGGTAAAATTGCGAGTGCGAGACCTACAGGAGGTGGGCTCGCTGGATCCTCGGTTGACTGTACCACTGACGAAGAATAATATTAGTTTTGTACCGTAGTAATCTAGTAACGATTCAGTCTATTATTTACTTCCTTTAAATATTTTGCACGAGTGAAATAGCTAATAAGTATTATTTTTATTCAAACGAGATATATTTCACACTATAACTAAACGGAAGTAAACCGCAGAACATTATTAAATGCCACTCAACACGCATAATGTTTCTAGAAGCCAACCAGATAACAGTATTATTCGGCACTCAACAAGCATAATGTTCTTAAAGTGGTGTTAGGATATGGTGGTGTACAGACATCACTTTCGTTAAGCACTCGGACCTACCAACAACAGTACATAATATAAGCCATTATGTAGTAATTATTGACTAAGAGGTGGAGTGATGGGGCTTACTGCACTGTACATGAGGTAATTGAACACTTCTCCCCGTCATCCTCCTCTCACCACATGCCTCCTCCTCCTTCCTCTCACCACATGCCTCCTCCTCCTCCTTCCTCTCACCACATGCCTCCTCCTCCTCCTCTCACCACATGCATCCTCTTCCCTCCTCTCACCACATGCCTCCTCCTCCTTCCTTCCTCCCACACCACATGCCTCCTCCTCCTTCCTCTCACCACATGCCTCCTCCTCCTTCCTCTCACCACATGCCTCCTCCTCCTTCTTCCTCTCACCATGCCTCCTCCTCCTTCCCTCACCACATGCCTCCTCTTCCTCCTCTCACCATGCATCCTCTTCCTCCTCTCACCACATGCCTCCTCCTCCTTCCTCTCACCACCACATGCCTCCTCCTCCTTCCTCTCACCACATGCCTACTCCTTCTTCCTCTCACCACATGCCTCCCTCCTCCTTCCCTCTCACCATATGCCTCCTACTCCTTCCTCTCACACATGCCTCCCCTCCTCCTCCTTCCTCTCCCACATGCCTCCTCTCCTCCTTCCCCTCACCACATGCCTCCTCCTCCTCCTTCCCCTCACCACATGCCTCCTCCTCCTCCTTCCTCACCACATGCATCCTCCTACTCCTTCCTGTTCCTGTTCCTCCTCCTCCTCCTCCCTCTACTGCTGTATTGAATTATCTTGGTGATATAAATGGTGCCTTGTTGGGCCCTCCACACGCTACCTGGCTCAGTACAGGGATATGGTGGGGTAATATTGTGGTCTCTCTCTCTCTCTCTCTCTCTCTCTCTCTCTCTCTCTCACACTGAATATTTTAATTTTTCAGTGAAATATATAACTGGCTCACGCACACACACACACACACACACACACACACACACACACACACACACACACACACACACACACACACACGTCACTTACATAACTAACCAGTTTACGGCCCCACTAACTGTCAGGTATCATGAGGTAAAGACTGTCCGCCATTCTCCTGAAGCTACTATGCGATTAATTTTCCTGGTAACTGGGGATGTCAGGGCACACCTAACTGGCTAGATTAAGGGGTAGTTCAATGAATGACTGTCAAGATGGCGCCGAAATTGTGCTGAGACTGTGAATATGGAGGTGTCAGGACGCACCGATAGAGACCTTGACTTTACCTAAGAGATAAAAATTGACACCGAAATTGGCATCATAATTAACTCTTAGAGACTCTTACCTTTATTAAATACGATCACTTGGTATACTCTCTCTCTCTCTCTCTCTCTCTCTCTCTCTCTCTCTCTCTCTCTCTCTCTCTCTCTCTCTCTCTCTCTTTGTCTCTCTCTCTGTCAACGGTATTGTCCAAGGCGGTGAGTGTGTGACCTGTGGTGTAATGTTCAGCATTCTCGCCTCGCAAGCGAGTGGACCCGGGTTCGTTCCCCGGGCAGGTTGAAACTACGGGCAAGTTTAATTATGTCATTTTCCTCTGTCTTCGCAGCAGTAATTGGGGACCTGGATGTTAATCGATTTGCGGATCGTATTCCGGGGTAATGGTTAGCCAGTGCAGTTGGTGAGTTGTCCGGTCTTCTCGGACACTGGGTCATGCAGCTCGTTAACTTGGGGTGTGGTTGTTGTGTTGGCGACAACTTCTCCACCTTAAACAAATTCACGCCTAAGTGGCCCTTGGGCCGGCCTTCCTCGTTACAAGAGGGGCAACCATTATTATTATTATGTCGTGTATACCGCCAGGTGGAGGTTGATTACAGTACGGTCGATCTGAGCTGATAAGAGTGCTGGAAGTGGGTGATGAAGGCCCTGTCCGCTGGGATTCGACACCTCGTCCTTAGGTTATGTATTGATAATGTCCACCCCACCTCCCCACTTGGCATTTCCTGTTCCTGTTGTGTTTTCTACATATTCTACTCTTTACTTTTATATGTATTTCCTCTTTCGAACCATATTATTATCGTCTGTTCTCCTATTTCCTTCGTTCTGTCTCGTGTATTATCTCTTTGTCTCCCTATTTCCTTTTTTAGAATTTCTATATATTTTTCCCCTTCCGCGTGTTGTTGTTTACATCGTTAATCAAATAGTATGTCTTTTGTTGTATCGCGTCTATCCTCATTCCTCTCTTTCTCTCTCTGTTTTCTCTCCGTCCTTCGTATCTTCTCTTTCGCCTCTCATCACCACCGTCATTATTACCCACTTCGTTATTTCCTCCTTTCGTAATTTCGGTCGTATTTCCATTCTCTCGGTTTTATTATTATGACTCTTCCGGATTTCCTGTTTCGTATATGACGCGGCAGTGATGGACTTGTGGCCTGTTTTATCTCTCTCTCTCTCTCTCTTCCCACAATTACACTTTTATCAGCCTCTCTCCTATACCCTCTCTTCCGCGCGCCCCTCTGATTTACAGCGTCATATATCTGTGTTTACATTCATGTCGACCTTTCTCTCCACATTCTCTCTTCCCCCTCTCATTTATCACTTTTCCCTCCCTCCCTCTTCCCTTCCCTCTCTCCCTCCCTCCCTTCTCTCCCTTTCTCCACCCCTCCCTCCCTCCCTCCACCCCTCTTCTCCCTTTCTCCTATCCGTCCTCTCTCCTTCCCTCCCCCCTCCCCTCCCTCTCTCCCTCCCTCACTTTTCCGAGAATCTCTACCACTAGCCATGAACTACAGTATGTAAATGTGAAGCATAAGTTCGTAGAATAGTGAACGGAATAGGTGAAATGCTCGGGCCACCTGACGATTAGACACCCCCACCTTATTTCACCTAATGATTAAACACCCTAACGCTCTCTGGTGGGGTACGGGTTATGTTAGGTGAGCTTTGGTTAGGTTAGGGTAGTTTGAGTTTACGTTATGCTAATTTAGGTTAACGTTTGGGTAGTAAGATCAGGGTAGAGTAGGCTAGATTAGGTTAGATTAGGCTAGGTTAGGTCAGGTCAGGTTAGGTTAGTTTAGGTTAGGTTAGATCATGTCAGGAAATATTAACGTTAGGATGGTTAGGTTAGGTCAGGAAAGATTAACGTTAGGATGGTTAGGTTAGGTCAGGAAATATTAACGTTAGGATGGTTAGATCATGTCAGGAAATATTAACGTTAGGATGGTTAGATCATGTCAGGAAATATTAACGTTAGGATGGTTAGATCATGTCAGGAAATATTAACGTTAGGATGGTTAGGTTAGGTCAGGAAAGATTAACGTTAGGATGGTTAGGTTAGGTTAGGTTAGGTTAGGTCAGGTCAGGTCAGGTCAGGAAAGATTAACGTTAGGATGGTTAGGTTAGGTCAGGAAATATTAACGTTAGGATGGTTAGGTTAGGTCAGGTTAGGTTAGGTTAGGTTAGGTTAGATTAGGTTAGGTTAGGTCAGGAAAGATTAACGTTAGGATGGTTAATCTTAAGGTGAAATAAGCTTAAAGGCTAATCCTTAATGTGATATAATCTCAATGCTCCTGTGCACATTTACCAGGACAAACCCTTATACCTGCTAGTCTTGTGGTGATGGTTAAGAGTTCAAAGGTCATGGTGAGCAGTGTGTGTGTGTGTGTGTGTGTGTGTGTGTGTGTGTGTGTGTGTGAGACTATTTTAACCTGATTAACCCCTCCAGCTGTTACTTCAAAAGGTCATGACTGCAGCGGGTTTTCATTTAATCCTTCTGTAATGTCTGTTTGTATGTATATATGTATGTATATATGTATGTATATATGTATGTATATATGTATGTATGCAGATATACAACTTTACTACATCTCTCGACAGCGGAAGGAGCTACATTGTTCAAACTTGGTGAATAAAAATGTAACTGGACAACTGCCTTTTCGGAGCTGGTGGTAAGTTGGGGGGTTAGGTTAGGTTAGGTTAGGTTGGAGTTTACGTTACATTTCACGTTAGGTTAGGTTATGTTAGGTTAGGTTAAGGTTAGGTTAGGTTAGGTTTTGGTTGTGAGGGAGATCAGAGGGTTGGGTTATGGTGTGAGAGGTTAGGTTAGGTTTTGGTTATGGGAGGAGGGGGTTTAGGTAAAAGGTTAGGTTAGGGAGAGGGGTTAAGTTAGGGGGGAGAGGGGAGGGGTTGGATAAAGGTTAGGTTAGGTTAGGTTTTGGTTATGGGAGGGAAGAGGCTAGGTTATAGGGGAAGGGGAGGGGTTAGGGGGGAGAGGGTAGGGGTTGGATAAAGATTAGGTTAGGTTAGGTTGTGATGGGAGGGGAGGGGTTAAGGAGGTCATAGGTTAAGGTCAGAATTGATATTAAAAAAAAGTTATGTTCCTGGCTTTTGTTAACTATAAGACCTTCTTTATCATTCCTCATTATTATCTGTTATCCAGTGTTCCTTATCGCCTTCTTTTCATCGCCCCCTCCTCCTCTTCCTTACTGATCCAAGATTCAGTAAAGGTTTGTATTCTCTCTCTCTCTCTCTCTCTCTCTCTCTCTCTCTCTCTCTCTCTCTCTCTCTCTCTCTCTCTCTCT